GTGGGGCTGGAAAAGGGATGGAGGTGTACCGTGTGGGGTCCAGTGCTGACTTCATTCTTTGAAGGGCTGTGGGAAGGTTCCAAATTGTTTCAAGTAATGAGGAATGACCAGATCACATTAATTGGTTTGTTTAGTTATTTGTTTTGCTATGTATGTTTATGTTCAGGGTCGTGGCGCGTACGTGTGTGTGCGCCTGTGTGGAACCAGAGGTCAATGTCAAGTGTCTTCCTAACCATTCTCCACCTTATTTTTAAAACGGTCTCTTTCTAACCTAGAGCTCACCAATTCAGCCAGACTGGATGGCCAGTAACCCCCGAGGGCTCTCCTGTCTCTACCTCCCCAGCACTGAGATTCCAGGTGCATGCCACAGCATTGGGCTTTCACCCGGGTCCTGGGGATCAGCTCAGGTCTTCATGCTTGCACATCAAACACTATCCACTGAACCATGTTCCCAACCCAACGTTAAAGTTGTGGATGAGCAACTTTTGCGGCAGCCTACAGAACTACTGTGGCATTGGTTAGGAAGCAGGTAGAGAGTGATTTCAAGCCTGCAGTGGGGCTGACGTGGGTGGAGACAGGGAAGAGACATGGTGAAGGAAAGACCAGCTTAGGACCGGATGGGGGATGAGGGCCAGTCAGGATGGAGTGGCTTCAGTAAGGGAACCACGCGTCACGGACAGCTTTGGTCCTCCTGCCTCTCACCCAGCAGGGGGGTAGAGGTGCCTTCACTTCTGAAGACTTCCAGGTGGAGAGAAGTTTGAGTATGATGGGGACTCCAGTGTCTGCCTTGTTGAATGTTGATGCCAGCAGGCAGGTGGAGGTACAGTTCCGGATCCTACCGAGGAAGTATGGAGATGTTACTTGTGCTTGTAGATGGCTAGTAGAGGTGGATGGGACCCAGCCTCAGTATCAAGGGACTTCAATAGTTCATAGTCCAGAAGGGAGCATGGGAGAGCGTGTCACTGGAGGAGAAGCAGGCCAGGAGAATGGCCTGTCTGCACAGCAAGAAGAGAGCTCTAAAGGCTACAGGACCAGTGAATCTCATGTGTCTGGGAAGCCCGGGACGACAGGGCTCACAAGAGTCTGTTGGATCTTGTGCCTGCAAGAGCATTGTGACATTGGCAGGAGCAGTAGGCCTCAGCCTGGGATTTCTGTACCCACATGGTATTGAGCAATATTGACAGCTCAGGGTGGGCGTGTGCTACTGGTACCTAGAGACAAAGGCCAGGGTCAGTGCTAAGTGATGTGCACTGCCTGGGACTGCAACCCACAACAGTGGCTTATCAGTTGCTCCTGCAGGAGAGTGCTGGAGCTGGGCACCTGATTAGCATAGAGGTGGCCAGCAGAACAGCTTCTCAGAAATTTGCTTAGAGCTCAGAAGTGGAAAAGAGAGATAAGAGAGGCAGATGGTGATTGGAGGAAGCCACTGGGGTCAGCGGAGCTGTTACTAGAGAGAAGTTAGCATCAGCATCCTTAAGGCCAGCAGGAGGAGCGCTCTGGAAAGAAACTGGGAGGATGAGGGAAGAACACCAGCCATATGCATCTGTAGCACCTCTAGAAGGTTCTGAAGAAGCAACTGGGTATGGAAAGTAGTAGGTCAGCATATTTTCCATCACCTAAGGGACAGCCCAGGTGTGGGAAGCCGAACAATGGCTCTGTGAGGATTAGTGTTAATTGCCAACTTGGCAGGATCTGGAGTCACCTAGGAGACAAGCTTCCAGGGGATTATTGAGCCCCTGGCATGCCTGTAGGGGGATTATCTTGATAGACTGATTGATGTGGGAAGACTCATCCTAATTGTGGGTGGCAACATTCCCTAGGCCGGGATCCCGGATTGTATAACATGGAGAGTTGAGCACAGGCGTTCACTCCTCTTTGCTTCTAGACTGTGGATGCAATGCAGCTAGCTGCCTCGATGTGAGCCAAAGTGACCCTTCCTTCCTTAAGTTGGCTTTGTCAGAGTATCTGATGACAGAAATGAGATTAAGATAGGTTCCGTAGTGCCCTCGTCCCCAGAACTCGAGGCCCTTTTGGTGGTAGAAGGTGGTAGCATCTGTGGTCACAGTGAGCATCTTGAGACAGGGAGACCATCTTAGGTTTTCTGGCTGGGTTCAAGGAAATTACAGAATTCTTTCTTGGAGGGAGACAGAAGGCTCAGGGTTAAATCAGAGGCGGGGACATGGTGCCTGCTGGCTTCCCAGAAGTGGTGGAGGCTGGGAGTGGTTGGGACAAACAGCTGAGGTACCTATTAACACATCAAAGCAGACTCTGGTGGCCAGGGTCTCCCTCAGTCCCTACCTGTTACAGGGTTCCTCCTGGCTAGCATACCCTACCCCCATCCTGAACTCTCCAGCCCAGGGCGTGGGCTGGGCTCCTTTTCCCAGCTTTGCTTTTCTGTATAACCCAGCCATTTTGGCTAAGTGGTCCTTTTGGTCTCTTGTTCTCCTGGCTCA